AGTAAAAAGTGCGTCTTATACACCGAAAAATACGGTAAATTGGTGTAATAGGTAATTGAAATGTTAGTAAACAGTCTTCTGATTGGAACTCTGGACTACGTGTCAGTTCATTATTGGATAACTACTAAGACACATTAACCCAGTAAAAATTGTGAACTTCGGTGTTATATACCTTATACATATCTTTTGCGTATATTGTTTTTAATGTCGATATTCTGTGTTTTCGTTTCGGGATTAACATTTTTTTATCTATTCATATAACTTGCATGTTATTGTTTTGTGTGTGTGTTCTACGTAGGTGATTCTGTATGTTTTAATAAATAATTATTTGACACTTTCGGATGACTTTTGGAGTGATACCAAGACGTTACTTATTAGCACATGGAAATGTTTTCACGATTATACTTTTAATTTACGTCACCAGGCATCGCGGGAATCCTTGTCATGGGAGTGGGAATCTTCACTAGTGGTACACTCATGCGTAAATTCAAGCCTGGTGCTCGAGTGGTGGCGTGCTGGATTGCCCTAGCGACTTTTGCCTATTCCATAGGGATGGTCCTACTCATGTTTGTTGGGTGCCCACTTAACATTCAAATCGACATGGATGGAACTGGGTAAGATGAAAGTCGACCAGTTTTTAATTTTTCTGAACTTCATTGTTCTTAAATTTTAATCTTTTCTCAGGTGAATTAGAATGAATATCTGCCGTTGTTATTATACATTTCACTTACAGTCTACAAAAATGAATAAATATATTTATCACGTTTCAAGAAAGAAAATCGGGCCTCTTTCAATCATTTGATTCGTAATAAGTATTTTTTTTTTTTACTTGTTAAAGAAGTAATTACAATCTATACGTGTTTATCATTGAGCAACCAGATTAGAATCTTGAAAAGTGACTTTACTTACGGCATTAGGAATAGATGTATTCAGAGCTTTAGTATATTATTCGATTCGAAATAACCTTGGAATGTATTATCATCCACAGAGAAATCGCGTCATCTACCGGAACAAATTGTAACGAGACTTGTAGCTGTCGCTCGGGGGTTTTTGCGCCAGTTTGTGGCGCTGACGGTGTGACGTACTTATCACCATGTTTGGCTGGTTGCACTGGAGTTTCTGCTGAATTTCATGAAGAAGTAAGTAGAATTATTTTACCTTCTAGTGACCGGAAACATATTGTACAATTTCACTAACTCCAAGCACTAAACTACTTAAGATTTTATAATATTAAGTTTAGCTCAAACTGATAGTCTTCTAGCCAGCATTTCATATACGTTAAGACTAAAATTTACATTTTAGGTTTACAAGTTTCACAGTATGAAGTATGCATCCTATATATTAAAAAATAAATAAACAGATAATACTCACTTTTAAGTTTATCTCAATACATTGACAACATGTATAAATGAATTTCAGATGATGCATTTACAAACGAGATATTCACGAAACCGATTTATTTATTCCAAAATGAAGTAAAATAAAATAATAATATAGTGTATTGTTTAATAAATTACACAATATTTAATATATTTTGTTTACTTATTTTTTGAAAGAAAACTATCAGGTACAGATTACTGAATCTAGTTATTGAATAATAATAATAGGAAATTTAATTTTCCTATCTAATTGTATTCGTCGAGTTGTTTGTTTTAACCCATCGTATGTTATTCGAAAGTCGTTTTTAGTATGAAAAATATACGTATAAATTTTCTAAACAACAAATTATTATTAAGTAAGTCCAGAAATGGAAAGTTATTAATTAAAACTTCCACACAATTTGGGTGTGGTGGGGGGAACAGAAACTATTCTCCCTAGATGGCGGCACAAACACACACGAGTAATGCACTTGTGTCAGAGAAAATACCAACTTTTGTTCACATTTGGAATGCCTCAGATTAATTACCTTTACCAAGGCTTAATATTTTCCCCGTTGTAATAACGTGAACTTTGAACCTAGTAAGATGTTTTTGTAAGACCGAAATCGTATCGTACAGATCAAACTATTGCAAATTCCTTAACAGTGGTGACGAGAAACAATATTCTTGAAGCGCCATTTTAATTTTATGTTTTGCGTTCTCGTATTCACTCGAAGAAAAATAAAACAAAACTTATTTATATCATTGCAAAAAAGTTTAATCATTAGTAATAACAAAAAATAAATAAGTCAATTATCAAACAGTAACTCCTATTAGTGTTACAACGTTTCAGCCAAACTTAAAAGATTAGGTGACTTACCTTGAAAACCTGAGGTAGTGATTTATTAAAGAGAGTGTGTGTAATACGTCACATTTGAATACTGTTTAAAAGTATGTTTGTAATCGTCGGCGCTCTTTTAAGAATAATTAGCAATTTGTGACGTTTGATCAAACCTCACTAAAAGGTTAGTCATTGTTTGGCGCTTGGGCGGAATATAATCAAACGTTTAGAATATGTAATCAAAACTTCCCTCGGATTGGCTAGACATTCTATCACATGTATTACTTTCACTTACGCCTATCGAAGTTTAGCTCAACGTGGTACCCGAAACATCAAACTAATTTTAAAGCGATGCTGGGTCGAGAATAAATGACGGTACAGCATGATTGGCTAGAGATGTTCAAAAAAAAATAAAATAAAAAATGACGATTTTGGGTGTCAGGTACCATAAATTAATACTGGTTTTATTTGTCCACAGTACATGTACAGCGACTGTCAATGTCTAGGAACAAACATGACAGCTACCAATGGCTATTGTCCACTTCAGTGCGATAGTCTGGTCTGGTATACCATCATCTTCTCGCTCTTCATCCTCATCCACTCAACATCCGAGGTCGGCTCCATGTTATTAACATTAAGGTGGGTTACGTAATTTTATGTACCTATAATTCAAATTAAGTTTTACGAACAGGTTAGCATTTTGCACAAGATTTGATTTTGCATATTTCCATACCTTCTCGACGGTATTCAACGTTTTTGCCATCTTATAAAGTGATAGACAGTGAATATTCTGTAGAATAGCAGTGAGAGTAAAAGTATATCAATAATCGCATGTTTAGGGCCTAAAGGTTGCTTACTGGTTAGCTGTTGGTGCGTTATAAGAGTGGCAATCAATTCAGATATTCGTTTAAAATTAGCCCATTCAAGTGGCGGGTGCTGCCAACTGATTGCCTTTCCTGAACAAGTCATATATTTAAACTATGATATTCTAAACACTTCACCTTTTACATCTCACAAGTTTTAACAATTTTACTAAAATACTGTTTTAAAGCAGTTATTAAATCCAGTAAATTTCTGTTGCTGTTCTTAGGATTCTCTCACGTGCTCATTTGTTAACGCTTTATAACCCTGTACCAGAATGCGACTGGTTTTAAGGGTCTTGATTTCATGTGTTTGTAACTACGCTACGTTCGAAGCTATATGAGTTGATTAATATTATTCAAATATTATAAATGAGAGAAACAGTTGGTTGTACAGGCAGTAAGGCTATCATCGAAACTTCAATACAGTTAGTTATAACAGGTTCACAGGAACCTGATCTAGGTACTGATAATTTAGTCATTTATATGAATCCAATAGCAATCTGATAAAGACATTGTTAATGCAGGCACTTATAAGTTAATAGGAAACTGATATAAACTCTGTAAACGCAGACATTTATAATAAGCTAATACAAAACTGATATAAACTCTGTTGACGCAACACTTATAATAAGCTAAGCTGAACTTGATATAAACTCTATAAACGCAAACATTTATAATAAGCTAATAGAAAACTGATATAAACTTTGTTGACGCAGACACTTATAATAAACTGAACTGGACTTGGTATAAACTCCGTAAACGCAGACACTTATAATAAGCTAATAGAAAACTGATATAAACTCTGTTTAAGCAGACACTTATAATAAACTGAGCTGGACTTGGTATAAACTCTGTAAACGCAGACACTTATAATAAGCTAATAGAAAACTGATATAAACTTTGTTGACGCAGACACTTATAATAAACTGAGCTGGACTTGGTATAAACTCTGTAAACGCAGACACTTATAATAAGCTAATATAAAACTGATATAAACTCTGTTGACGCAGACACTTACAATAAACTAATAGAAAACTGATATACACTCTGTTGACGCAACACTTATAATAAGCTAAGCTGAACTTCATATAAACTCTGTAAACGCAGACACTTATAATAAGCTAATAGGAATCTAATATAAACTCTGTTAAAGCAGGCATTTATAATAAGCTCAGCTGGAGTTGGCATAAACTCTGTTAACGCAGGCATTTATAATAAGCTCAGCTGAACTTGATATAAACTCTGTAAACGCAGACATTTATAATAAGCTAATAGATAACTGATATAAACTCTGTTAACACAGACTCTTATAATAAGCAAAGCTGAACTTGCTGTAACAGAGTTTATGCCAACTCCAGCTCAGATTATTATAAGTGTCTGCGTTATCGCAGACATTCATAATAAGTTACGCTGGTACCTGATTTAGACATTGTCAAAATATTATGGAATGATCTGTTTGAGAAACAAACGTCAGGTTTTCAATGTAAGGCAAATCTATGTGTTGAGTGTCAACATATTTTTAAACGTGGTATATTATGAAGGTACGGCAAGTTAATCAAGAATTATACATTTAAGTTTTGTATGGCATTAGAGTTCATTAAATTATTCACAAAGTGTTTTTAACAGATGCGTTGAACCGGAAGACAAAGCTATGGCTCTGGGCCTGATATCTTTCGCTATTGGTCTATTTGGTAAGTACTTAACAATATATCCATGTATTTATTTGTTTTAATTGCATACCATAGCATATCCACAGAAGTGATTTTAAAAACAAGGTATAATGTTCTTTCTCTATTTCTGGATATTTTTTGTTTTAATCTTGTTGAAAGCTGGGACTACTAATGAGTTTTTTAGGTTTCATTTATGAAGATTTAAATTGAAATTTTAATATGTATTTTCTAATTGTATTTGTGATTTATCCGGAGGTAGATTTGTTGATCACGAGGTTCCTAGGGCCAACGTTTATCAAGGAGGACACTTTCTGTGATTTTTATAGTATTTTTATTGGGTTTTCGAATAACTAAAGATACTCGTTTTTAGGTTATAAATATTTTTATTGGGTTTTCGAATAACTAAAGATACTCGTTTTTATGCTATAGACATTTTTATTGGGTTTTCGAATAACTAAAGATACTCGTTTTTATGCTATAGACATTTTTATTGGGTTTTCCAATAACTAAAGATACTCGTTTTTAGGATATAGACATTCTTATTGGGTTTTCCAATAACTAAAGATACTCGTTTTTAGGATATAAACATTTTCATTGGGTTTTCCAATAACTAAAGATACTCGTTTTTAGGTTATGGGTATTTTTACTGGGTTTTCCAATAACTAAAGATACCCGTTTTTAGGTTATAGATATTATTAGGTTTTCCAATAACTAAAGATACTCGTTTTTAGGTTATAGATATTTTTATTGGGTTTTTTAATAAATAAAGATACACGTTTTTAGGTCATA